GGCGGCCGGCGGCGGCCTGCACGCACTCACGCTGTTTTTGCCGCCAGGCTGAGGAGAGACACGGCAACATTGAGGAGAGGCTGCGGCAGCTGGAGGCGCAGCTGGAGGAGAAGAACCAGGAGCTGCAGCGGGTGCGTGGCCAGAGAGCCGGGCCGTCTCTGTCCTGCGGTGGCCTCGCCTGAGGGTGGCCAGCAGGGGTGCGGTCGCCCCTCGGGAGAAGCGGCCGGGGCCCCCCAGCCCGTGCTGCTGTCCGCACTTCCCGCCCGCCCACTCACCCTCGGCTCCTTCAGGGTCTGGGCCGAAGACGTCCTGTGGGCCGAGGACTTCTCGGTAGTTTCATGAAACAAGATGTAGCAACTTTGGCTACTACGTTTTGGACTTACTTGAGGTAGTCCTCTGTGCTTTTTGAGTGTAAATTTCCATCGTTAGCCACGCACACTCTGTAAGAGGGTGGAAAGAGGCCCGGGTCTGCCCGCACTGGCTGTCCCGGATGAGCCGCTGCCTCTCCCGCTTGGTGAGTCAAGCTGCCTTCCGGCCGCTGGGCCCAGCAGCCCCGGAGATGCTCCCGAGGCCCTGCCCGGCGCTCTCAGGGGCACACCCTGGTGCCCTGCCGCTGCGCACTGTCTCGGGCCTCAGCGCAGGGTCCAGGGAGGGCGGCAAGGTGGTGCCCCGCTTTCAAACAAGGGTCTCACCGCGGTGCGGCCTTTAGGAGTCCTTTCTCCTGTTCCAGGCCAGGCAGAGAGAAAAGATGAACGAAGAGCATAACAAGCGCCTGTCAGACACCGTGGACAAGCTTCTCTCCGAGTCTAACGAGAGGCTTCAGCTGCACCTGAAAGAGAGGATGGCCGCTCTGGAGGATAAGGTGGGCCCCAGCCCCCCGACCCTGTTCCCCGGCTGGGAGCGGCCCGCGGCAGGGCCGCCGGCCTCGGGGGGAGGACGAGCTCCGAGCAGCGCCCCACGCCGCCTGCGCCTGCCTGCCCGCGCTGGCCTGCGCGTGGGGCTGTTTCCCCGCTCTCGGGGGGACTTGCGGAGGGCCAGCTGCTGGACTCTGAAGTTCTCGCGAGTTAGGAGTTGACTAAAGTCATTTCATGCTCCCCGGTATTTAGCGTGAAGCAGCCAAAGGTAGAATTTGAAGAGAGGGTGTGCCCGTGGCGGCTGGCGTGGGAAGTGCAGCGCTGCCTCAGGCATAGGCGTGGCGGGGGTGGCGCGACCTGGGGCTCTCCTCACGCGAAGCACACGCCCGCAGGCTCCACCTCCCGCTCTGCCCACTTGGTTCGGAAAACGCTAAGCCTGGCCGCCTGCTCCTCTCGGCGGGGCGATACCTCGGCTGTCTTGAGAGCGCCCCGGCTGTGGCAGAACAGCTGTGGGGCAGGAGTGGGGCTGGGTCGGGGTGCCCTGTCCCAAGACCCCAGGCCCTGAAGACAGGGCAGAGGCTTCCCGCGGCCAGCGCCCCGACAGAGACCGCCGGTTGCTGGCAGCGACGCCTCGCTCGCTTTACGCAGAGCCCGTGAGGCGCATTCCTGGAGGTCGTGTGGGGGCCAGCCTCGGGGCAGGAAGCCGAGTGTCACATCGGAAAAGCTCGGGCAGTCTCCCGCGCGACTGACGCCCAGCCTGAACGCCAGCGCGAGCTGCTTCCGCACGAAGGAAGCGCTGAGTGCGCGGCGCGCTGTGCTTGGCGGCCGGTCCCGAGGAAGCAGGTGTCACGGGGGGGGGGGGCCCTGACCTGGGGCCTCGCCAGCGCCCGCTCCCTCACTGTGGGGCTCGGGCGTCCTTCTGCAGAAGCAGAGATGAGCGTTGCTGTGTGCAGCGGGTGTTTTCAAGAACCAGCACTAAAGGACTCTGTCTTTCAGAATTCTCTACTGCGAGAAGTTGAAAATGCAAAAAAGCAGTTAGAAGAAGCGCAGCACGATAAGGTACGTGCCGCTGGCTTGGCGTCCCAGGCTGGCCGCGGCGTGGCGCAGCCCCCGCCCGCGCACCGTGGCCTTCGCCGGAGGGCTGGCCAGCCGCAGCGGCCGGCGGCTCAGGAGGGTCTGGCCAGGTCAGCTTCGCCCCACCATTGTCGTGCACACTCTGCTCTGTCACGTACTGGG